AACCTTAAGATAAGACTGTATTAGAGTTTCAAAGAATTAGAAATTAAAACATTTCCAGGTGAATAAATGTCCAATCTCTATGAATATCAGTGTAAATATGGGCGGCACAGTGATGCAGTGGTTGGTGTTGTCCAGCCAATGCTCGTAGGTTTGATTCTGCTGGTTGGCTGAAGCTTTTTACATGTAGAGTTTGCATATTCTCTTTGTAGCTATAGCTCCAGCAAAAACACGTGTGCTTTGCTAACTAGCCTTTGATTCTAAACCGGCTGAGCATGACTGGCTGTCTCTTTACACCCTGTGATGGACTGTCAGCCTGTCCAGGGTGCACCCCCACCCATGACCTTCTGCTGGATGAGGCGGGTGCAGATGATAGTTTTAGCTTTATAAAATAACCAAGACGGTTTCAAGTAGTGAAGACAGAGCCTTGAATCTTTTAAAATATAAATGTAAATATATCTAGTTGTGTCAGTTATGTGAATCATAATGCATTTGGATTGTACTTGTCTCCCTGAAGACTGTGCCCGTGGGTTTTATTTTTTAAATATTCACTCCTCATGGTGTGAAACAATCAGTAGTCCAGCCACTGCTCAGCTGGCTCAGTGAATTCATTATTTGTCACTGGCACCGGAGGTCGCGACATTGAATCTAGGATGGTGCTGAAGGAAGATAACAAAACTCTGGCCACGCTGCTGGCTGTAATTTAGACAAATATGTTGTGTCTGATATGTCAAGGTGTGGTACAGGCGGTGTCACTCGTGTACAGAAGGGCCTCAATTTACTTGCCGAAGACTTTCCTCTTGCGTAACTGCTTCTTTTTTTGTTTTCACACGGGATTATAGACTGCTATTAGTCCGGCCACAGTTTACAAGCTATCACTAACAAACTGCAGTCATTCATGTACGCATGATGGATTGCCGGCGCTGGTCCACTTGTGGACTCGCATGCAAATTGTGTTTGCAGGTTACATACGTGAATGCAAATTAGTTTTCTCCGACGTAGAAGCTTTCATTGGACATGATGTTTAAAACAAGTTCATGCAAATGTTTGGTTTGGCAACAACATTGAACTAAACATGAAATCGTGTGTCTTTTAGGTTATGTTGAAGTTTGGAGATGTCGGGTTTGAGATAGATCAGGTGGATCAGTGACTGCTTGTTCTCCAGTGCTCATGTGTCTGCTTATGACATTTTTCGTGTATTTAATTTAATTTAATTTAATTTAATTTAATTTAATTTAATTTTATATTTTTATCAGATTCAATTTAATTTAATTTAACTAATGCAATTAATTTAACTATTTTATTTTTTTATTTGAATTTTATTTTATTTTATTTAATCACATTAAATTTAACCTATTTAAATTCAATTTAATCAAATTTAATTTCACTAATGAAACTAATTTAAGTATTTTCTTTTTCTTTTTTTTTTTATTTGAATTTTATTTTATTTTCTCAGATTAAATTTAACCTATTTAAATTCAATTCAATCAAATTTAATTTAACTAATG